AAGGTAAATGTTATAGCTAACAAACAGAGGCACTGCCTGAGTGATAGATTTCATATTAGATATTTTGCAGGTACTAATTGATTCTCCCCAAAATAACATGAGTTCACATTTCCACATCTTATCAAGAAATTATGAGACTTTTAACAGTGGGTTTGTGCTAAGATACTAACCTATAATCCAGACTATTCAAGCATTACACCACTGCTTGTATCTAATCACAATCCTTCAGCTTATGGTCATGATCCCCCTTCCATGGAACAAACTTAAATCTAGCTTAAAAAAATCTTAGTCTCTCCTCATTCTGACTGAAAAATTTACAATATAAGGAATGTGAAGAACAACATGTCTAACCATAATCTAAGATCTACTCAGTTCTCTAGGTAAAATTTTTAGGTATTCATAAAAGGCCATAAATATTAGTTTGGTGCATTGGAAGTGTTTTGTCTGGCAGCTGGGTTATTCTGTGCCATACTACGGCTTCCTGAGTCTCTGTAGATGTCATCTAATCCTTTTTCCTTAAAAGTCTTTGCCTATTTCTATATTGGTATTTTCTTCATTATGTGTTCCCCTTTGCATGCCTTCTTCCTAATTTCCATAGTTCTGTTTCTGATCGTGGTCTAGTATGCTCCCATCTCACCAACTCTCCCACAGATAACAATGAAAGCCTCCAGCCAATATAAAAGAACAACTACCTGAATTCTTAGAAATGAATACAAATAGGCAGAGATGGACAAAAGCTGATAGGAAAAAGTACAGAGTAGGAGTCCAATTTATTTATAGCAATAACTGGAAGGCTAGTAGTTCAGGCTGCATGGAATAACTATAATTCAGGAACTCATAGTCATAATGACTTGAAAAATCAGATGACAAAGTTCATGGCAACCACAGCTGCTGGAAAATGACCAAGAATCTGGGAAGGAGAAGCACCACAGAGAAAGAATCCCAATTTTATATAAATTCTGCCTAAGTATCTAGATGAACTCCTAACCATGCACATGGAGGACAGACAATAATCATCTCACCAAGGTTAAAAACAGTGACCTTACATTTGAACTGCTGCCTGTTACAGAGAAGACATAATTTGTAATTTAAGTTCGGACAAAAGAAGTCAATATAATACAATATAATAATTTTTGTTTCAAAGGAACAAAAATTCAAACTCTATAATGTTTCATCTGCTTCATTTGTATTATAATTAATCCACATATGAAGAACCAGAAAATGTGGCTTTCAATAAAAAAAGACAATCAATGGAGACCAACCCTAAGAAGACCCAGGTGTTAGAATTAGCAGATAAGGATTTTAAACAGCTATCATAATTATACTCAAGTTTGTAAAGAAAAATATAACTCATAATAAAATATAGGACATTTTGGCAAAGACAAAGAAATTATGGCAAAAACAAATTCTAAAATTTATGTAATTAATATCTAAAATTTAAAATTCACTGAATAAGCTTAACAATGGAATAGAAATGAAAAAAGCAAGATTCAGTGATGTTGAATATTGATAAATAGAAATTATCTAATCTGAAGTGTAGGAAGAAAAACAATTGAAAATAATCCATGAAAGGAAATTTGTTAAGTTGGACTTAATTAAAATTTAAAAAATCTGCTTTAAAAAAGACACTGTTAAGAGCATGAAACCCAATTAAAAAAAAAAAAAAAACCCAATTAAAAAAAAAAAAGAGCATGAAATTTCAGACAAGTCACACTAGGTGAAAATATTTATAAAACACCTATATGGCAAGGGACTGGATCCACAATATATAAAGAGCTCCTAAAGTTCAATAATAAGAAAACAAACTCAATTTAAAAATAGGCAAAGGAACTGAACAGATATCTCATCAAAAAAGATTGCAGATGGCAATGTGAAAAGCTGCTCAACATCATATGTCATTAGGAGTTGCCAATTAAAACATGAAGATACCACTACACAACTATTAGAATGGCTAAAATCCAAAACACCAACAATATCACACACTGGTAAGGTTGTGGGGCAACAGAAATCCATTCACGGCTGGTGGAAATGCAAAGGAGTATAGCCACTTTGGGAGACACTTTGGTAGTTTTTTACAAAATTAAACATACTTTAACCATATGGTTCAGCAATTGTGTTTTTGTTTTTTTTTTTTTTTTTTTTTTGTATTTACCCAAATGATTTGAAAACATACACACAAATGCTTGCTCATAATTGTCAAAACGTGGAAGCAACTAAGATGTCCTTCAATAGATGAATAAACTGGGGTACACATGATGGAATATTATGCAATGATAAAAAGAAATGAGGTATCAAACTATAAAAAGAAAGAATCTTAAATGCATATTATTAAGAGATGGATGTCAATCTGGAAAGGCCACTAGTGTATGATTCTTGTGTGTGTGTGTGTGTGTGTGTGTGTGTGTGTGTGTGTGATGCTGGGGATTGAACCCAGGGCCTTGTGCATGCAATACAAGCACTCTACCAACTGAGCTATATCACCAGCCTAGTGTATGATTCTTACTGTATAATATCTGGAAAAGGCAAAGCTATGGAGACAATAAAAAGATAAGTGCTTGCTAGGGGTTCAAAGGCAGGGATGAATAGGTAAACTACATAGGATTTTTAGGGAAGTGAAATTACTCTGCATGATGCTGTAAAGCTATTACATATCATTTATATATCTGTTAAAACTTAGAGGGAACCTTGATATAAACTGTAAACTTTTTAAAATATTATTATTTATTTTTAAAGAGAGAGAGAGAGAGAATTTTTTTTATATTTATTTTTCAGTTTTCGGTGGACACAACATCTTTATTTTATTTTATTTTTTGTGGTGCTGAGGATCGAACCCAGCACCCCACGCATGCCAGGCGAGCACATTCCTCTTGAGCCACATCCCCAGCCCTAAACTGTAAACTTTTATTAGTAACAATGTACCAATATTAGTTCAGCAACTGTAACAATTATACCCCACTAATGACAGATGCTATTGATGGGGAAGGAACTATGATGGGATGAGGGACACATGGAAGTGCTCTGTACTCTTTGCTCAATTTTTCTATAAAAGTTTTTAATAAAAAATGCTTTAAAACATTTGTTAATTTTTTAAAAATAAAAAAAAATGGGTAGAAATTTAAGGACTGACAGCAGTTATGGTGTCATAGAAGGAGTGAAGAGTGAATAGGTAGAAAAATATGTGAAGGAATAATAAGTAAAAATTTGATAAAAGACATGAATGTGTAGATGTAAGCTCCCAACAGAATAAACACACCACACACACACACACACACACACACACACACACACACACACACATCTCCCCTCCCACTTTGGAATGTCACTGTTAAACTTCTGAAATTCAAATATAACAAAACTCTTAAAAGCACTCAGAAAAATGACATTTGCATACAGGGAATGATCTGAATGACCAGTGATAACTTCTCAGAAACAATGGAAGTTAATTTAATGTTTCTCTGCAAAGTTCCTTTCACAAGTTTCTCCCCCATACTTCATAATCAAAGAAAGCATTTGTGAGGGGCAGTGTTAGCAGCAAAATATATGACACTATAAAAGAAAAAGTATGGGCAGAAAATATAACAAGAACTTCCTTCTTACCATAGCACTGCTCCTTACTTGATGCTCCCAGACTATAAGGTTAGCTTGAGTGAGGGCTTAACTAAATACAATTATTTTGAAAGAAGAAAATCAATAAAAATAGTATTTCCTCTTAAACCTTTAACTATATTTATTATAAGTACTTATAATATTTATTATAAACCTTTAAATATATTTTTAAAGATAATTTCAGATGTACAGACACAAAAACAAAGACAATTTAAAGATTTTCCCTTGTTATTTCATAAGGCATTTTAAAACCTGGTCAATATTTATTTGACCTGATGCTAAGGTTATGGGGTTATCAAAAAGTTTAAACAGGGGCTAGGGTTGTAGCCCAGTGGCAGAGCACTTGCCCATATATGTGAGGCACTGGGTTCGATCCTTAGCACCACATAAAACAAATAAATAAAATAAAGGTATTGTGTCAATCTACAGTTAAAAAAAAACAAAAAGGTTTACACTTCTCAGAAGATGATGTACAATCAATCAACAAACACATGAAAAAATGTTCATCATCACTAGCAATTAGAGAAATGCAAATCAAAACCACTTTAAGATTTCATCTCACTCCAGTCAGAATGGCAGCTATTATGAAGACACACAGTAAGTGTTGGTGAGGATGTGGGGAAAAAGGTACACTCATATACTACTGGTAGAACTGCAAATTGGTGCAGCCAATATGGAAAGCAGTATGGAGATTTCTTAGAAAACTAAGACTGGAACCACCATTTGACCCAGCTATCCCTCTCCTCGGTCTATACCCAAAGGACTTTAAAAAAGCATATCACAGGGACACAGCCACATCAAAGTTTATAGCAGCACAATTCACAACAGCTAAATTGTGGAACCAACCTAGATGCCCTTCAATAGATGAATGGATAAAAAAAAATGTGGCATATATACACAATGGAATATTACTCAGCAATAAAAGAGAACAGAATCATGGCATCTGCAGATAAATGATGGAGTTAGAGAAGATAATGCTAAGCGAAGTTAGCTAATCCCACAAAACAAAATGCCGAATGTTTTCTTTGATATAAGGAAGCTGATTCATAGTGGGATAGGGAGAGGGAGCATGGGCGGAATAGATGAACTCTAGATAGGGCAGAGGGGTGGGAGGGGAAGGGAGGGGGCATGGGTAATTAATAATGGCTGAAAGTGATGATCATTATTATCCAAAGTACATGTATGAAGACATGAATTAGTATGAGTATACTATGTATACAACCAGAGATATGAAAAATTGAGCTCTGTATATGTAATAAGAATTGTAATGCATTCCGTTGTTATATATATATTAAAAATAAATTAATTAAAATTTTTTAATTAAAAAAAAGTTTAAATATAGCAATCTTTAATGCCAACCTAAAATCTTGCATCTTCTTTTCTTGGTTTTAAAGGCTCTGAAAATTCAGATACTAGATTTCCAAACTTAAAGAACAGTGAAGAGACGGTGAAGAGTAGTGAGTCAAAAACTCCAAGAAAGGGCCTGTCTAGGTGTGCTGATTTGACAGCACAGGAAAAGGATGAAGAGCAAAGCAACAACTCTGCCCATCTTTCCATGAAGATCATAGGTAAATATTTACTCATTTCATTAAGACTTCTTTCGTTACTAATTCAAGACCACAATTAGAACAAATTAAGAAAACTGCTGAGGCATCCATTTCTGTTTCAGAAGTTAAAGTAACTTAATAGCCCTGCCTGTTTGCCTTGAGGGGCGACATGAACTACCCAATAAAGCTTATGAGCAAAAGTAGAATTTGCTGGGTGAAAACCTTCTGCCAAACACTGGGTAGGTGCTAATAAAAATTGGGATGGAAGAGGGATTGGTTCTTCTTGTTGACTAAAATCAGATCAGTTATTGATAGTCTTTACCAGTATTAATTATGCTCCCATTCAAAGGTATCCTTTTTCTTACAATAATCAGGCATGTGCTCTTCTTACCACTGGTCCTGCAAGCACTTGGTATGCAACTTGAGAGGTGAGCCTTGTCTTTGATGTATTATAGCCTGTAATAGTCACTACTAGAAGTTCAAGTTCTGTGCTCTTAATGAAGTCAATAACTACCTGTGTTGTTAGAGATAAGCCACTTTACCTTTTGGGACATTAGTGTCCTTCTCTGTAAAATTTAAAAAAATGGAAAAAAAAAATGACCACTATGTCTAACATATTTCCTTAATACAGGTGCTGATGTATAATATTTTATTGGGTTCATTGTTTCTGTCAAAATTTCAAAGGAGTCTGTTATAAAAAAAAAAAAAAGGGTAATAAGAACTAATGAAATAGTAAAATGAGAAACCAATAAAAACTTTCTTTTTTAAAAGGAAAGCCATGGGCTGGGGATATAGCTCAATTGGTGGAGTGCTTGCCTTGTATGCACAAAGCCATAGGTTCAATCTCCAGCACCAAAAAAATAAAAATAAAAAAGGAAAGCACATTTATTATAAGGCAGCTTTTAAATAAATTGGTTTTTCAGAATGAGTCTAAAAAAAAATATTGCTCCCCTTTCCCCTATCTGGAGTTCATCTAATCCTCCCATGCCCTCTCCCCCACCACATTATGAATCAGCATTTTTAAATCAAGAGAAAACATTCTGCATTTGTTTTTGTTTTTTTTTTGGGGGGGGGGGGGGGGGGGATTGGCTAACTTCACTTAGAATTATATTCTCCAGCTTCATCCATTTACCTGCAAATGCCGTGATTTTATTCTCTTTTAATGCTGAATAATATTCCATTGTGTATATATACCATATTTTCTTTATCCATTCATCTACTGAAGGGCATCTTCAGTAGATGAAGTTGTGAATGGTGTGACTCTACTTAGTGTACAACCAGAGATATGAAAAATTGTGCTCTATATGTGTAATATGAATTGTAATGCATTCTGCTGTCATATATAACAAATTAAAATAAAAACGAAAAAAGGTAATAAAAAAGGAAAAAAAAATACATGTTGCTTAAGTAAGTGTAGTAAGTTCAGAGTTGAGAAGGGCACTGATAAAATGAAATATGCATTGTAGGGAACTTGATACACTGCATTTTTGCTTCAGAAAACCTACTTTTCATCTGCTTTGTTCATGTGTTATTTTGGCTATTCTGATTTCCAGATTCCCCTATTTGGGAATTTCCACCTGGGAGTTTTACAGGCATCAAAAACTTCTTTGCCTAAAGCTGAATTCACAGTCTTCCTTTCCAAATCTATTCCTCCCTATTTTACAAAGTCCACAAGTGGTATCATCAGAGTCATTCTTGACATTGACTTCTCATTTAGTGCCCTGAGCCAATCTATCACCACTTTCTACCAAATCACCCCTCTTTCTTTCCTCCAATTCCATGGTCCCCATACAAAGTCATCGATACTTGTTGCCTGGACCTCTCAATTGATCCTAAAGTGATCTCCTTATGCTAACAGAAGCAGCCCTACAGTTGTGGGGAAATGGGTGGAATAAAAATCAGATGCTGTCACTCTCTCCTTCAAATCCTGTATTGTATTCTACTGAATTTACAAAAACCAAACCACACCTTCTTCACAGATCATACTGGTCCCTAGAACACCCAAAAGCCAGGTTCTTATATTCTGTCAAGGATCTCAAGTCCTTAATCCATTTTCTACCTGAATGTTCTTTAACAGGAACATCTTTAAAATTCCAGATTGTGTAATCATGTAAAAAAGGATTTTACATAATTAAGGGGTAAAAAGTTACATACTGGATGCTTGCACTTTCCTGTAGTCACTCAAACTAAAAGAATGGAAAAGGGAGTAAGCCAGATCTTCAAACAGACCACCACCAAGCGCTTTTAGTTTAGCAGGCCAGCGGAGGGGAAGTTCCCTGGCAACATCAAGTTCTCATTACGCGAGACCAGGACCAGGCAGCAGGGAGCCTATAGCCCCCGCTCTACTCCAGGCCCCCTTGAGCTTTCGGGACACCTCATTTTTTCCCAATAGTTGAGCTCGAACCCGAAAGTCACTACTAGGTGAAGGAGTGACCTCCAAAATCAGAAACAAGTCAACCTTGGCCTCCACTCAGTCCCCTGGAAATTGCACCGAAAAAGTAGTCGCTTGTGCCTTACAAGCGTTTTCTCGTTAAGGCAATCTCAAGTCCCCTCACAGGACAGGAAAGACTGAAGGAACTTCACCCGACCACCCCTGACGGTCCACCGAGCCCAGAAGCGGAAGCCCGCCTAGTAGGGAACAGAACCCGAGGGGCGAGGAGAGAAGGGGGCCGCGCTCACCTCGGAGCAGGGCCATGGCTGCAAGTCGTTCCGGCGGCGGATGTTTCTGGTGCAGCGGAGCCCAGGGATCCGGGGCCGACTCCCACTTGGGCCCGCGAGGCCCCGCCCCCGACCTTTCGCCTACTTCCCCGGGGCCCGGAGCCCCCAGGCCCGCCCTCCGCACGCCAAGGTTATCCAGCCGCCGGCGCGCACCCGCCCGCCCGTGGGAACCAAAGGTGCCACGTTTCCTGGGGAGAAGACCACGCGTGCCCGGGGGAGGGCTTTTTCCTCATATTATCGTTTTTACAGACTTTCTTGCTGTATTTCCACATCGATAGAACGTCCTTTGACATCCCATTCATCCTGTCCTTGGCCTACAACCCCTTGTTCCCTGGATACCCGCTAGCAAATACTTAAGAAAAAACACACCACAGGTGCCAAATTGCGTAGGGCCCGCAACCAGGCCTACAGAGGGCTGGGGGGCAGGGCTAGAAGCTCGGTGGGCGGGGCTTCCGGCGGCGCAGCGGGATTGGTTGGATCTGCGCCTGCGCAGACCGCGGGGCAGAGGCCTAGGTCGCTGAGCTCCTCGCGCGGCTGGGTTGGGGCTAGCAGAAGTGGCACCGGGAATTTGGGAAAGTGAGTTTAGTGAGTGTAGTGGGGCGGGGCGCCCCTGGGTCTCCGATGCGGCCCCGGGCTGAGCCCTCAGTATTTTCCTTATATGATCAGGCTCCATTACGGGCAGCTCTGCTTGCCTAGAGCCTGAGAGGATTATGCAAAGGTTGCTGGTGAAGAGGGGCCAGGGGACCCGGCGCAGGGAAATGAAGGATGAAGGTCAGCGGGCGAGGCTAGGCTGGAGGGAGGTTTAGGGAGGCCTCTGCCGCTGTAACTGTGAGCCCTGGCCGATGATGACAAGACCACTGCGCAATCTGAGTTCTGGGAACCAGGTGATGGAGTGTGTTCTGAGAACAGACTGAGGCCGGGCGAGCAGGAGGTGGCCTTGGCAGAGGAAAGGCTGTGAGCGCCTTAGAGCCTGGGCTTGGTTGGATTGCGTGGCCACAGGTCGTCAGCGATTGCTTGCCCTAGAATCGTGCTTCAAACGTTTTGGTGGCCCTCTTATTGGCTCTTTGTTTTTTTAATCCATTTTTTTTTAATGATGAAAACTTTCCAACCTACAGAAAACTGAAAAGGTCATCTCACCCGCTTTTTTTTTTTTTTTTAAGTACACTACTATACTTCCCCTCAGGAACACTTACCTGCCTTTAGAGTTGGGTATTCATTTCAAAGACAAAATTTCTTTGCATCCATACTTACGAATCACAAGTTATATATTCACAAAAGATACATTCTTGTACACATTCCTTTATTCAGTTTGCCTTCCACATATTTAGGAAAGGATAAATACCACAATTTCCCATTCATTCTGCAAATCCCCATCAGCAGGTACTTACAAATTGTACTGTTTTCTCTGACTACAAATGTTACTAATGAGTAGATCTTAAAAACATTAAAGGTTAACATATATCAACATATGTAAGGATATTCACACAATTCCTTTCAGAAGAGGAGCTGTCACAATGTGGAAATTTTGTGGATATCACTTTAACCAAATGATAAGCTTGGCATCATCAATAATGGGCAAACTGACATCCTCTTGCTAAATAGAGAACATACCACCCTTATGTAAGACCCCCTTCCCCCATGACCTGAATCTCATCATAAGACGAATCCAAATTGAGGGACATTCTGCAAAACAACTGACCTGAATTCTTCAAAAATGTCAATGTGGTGAAAAACAGAAAAGAGTGGGAATGGTATTTGATTAAAGGAGACTAGAAATGTGACAATTTAATGTGTGATATTAATTGGAATCTGGCTTTAAAAGCTCTAAAGGATGGGATGAAGACAATTAGGAAAACAAATATAAATCATCCAGAGATAGTAGTACTGACTTTAAATTTCCTGATTATGAAAATTATGATTATGATAATTTTGTTAAAATGCAGGAGACTGTCTTTTGTTTTTAGCAGATAAACAAATATTTAGAAGTGAAGAATTTGATATCTGCAACTCATTCTCAAAAGACTAAAAAATGTATATAAGGAAACTAGTAAAGAAAGAGAATGCAAGTATGCAAAATTACTGATTGGGGAATCTAATGGAGAGTATATGTTAATTGTTCCATTTTTATAAGTTTTCTGTAGGTTTTTACTTCAAAATAAAAGCTGGGAGGAAATATGTCCTTCAAGTAAGCTATAGAATGATTTGAAATGAGTTATTCTGTAATGTATTTAGTTTTTTTCATGTTTACATAACTTTAGGTAGGTGCAGTCTATACAACACTGTGTATGTAAAAATTAGCTGTAACTTTTTGGTCTAAAGGTGAAACTTGTCATGAAATGTAAAATTATTGTTCTACTCTTACAAATTTAGCTTTAGTGTTTTAAAAAATGCATAGTATTTCTGTCTACCTATAATACTCAAGGTATATGGCTGCTTAAGCAGCAATGGTTTTAGAAGTTTCGGTAATGGAAACTGGAAAGTTGATGAAGTCAGCAGGAGTGAGGACAATTTTTTTAAATGAGCATATGAATGTGAAAGAGTGACATTGTGAAAATTATGTACATGCTCACTGCTGATCTAATTGCTGTGATGAGGTCTTCAATTCTTGTTCATTAAAAGGCAAATATTAGCTTATGGTTTTTTTGTTCTTTTTAGATATACATGACAGTAGAGTGTATTCTGACATACTATACATACATGGAGTGTAACT